AGTCCCTCATTCACGTGGAAAAGGAAAAGTGTTCCTGGTCTTCCCTAGAGACTGAGCTTTGTGTTATTCCATCCCACATCGGGGGTGGGGGCTGCTCTGTGTCTTTGGCATCTTAGTTCTGTTCATTGGTAATTTCTTTTGGGCATAGGTACAGTGTCCTGACTATCTTTCGGGCTTCTACACCTTCCATGTGAGCCACTCCATCACAGCCGCTCCAGAAGGCATTTGCTGAAGAATTGCCTGAGAGACCAGAAGCAAATGCATGTGTCTTTCTCTGTCTAGAGCTTTTGACTCAGTTTCTAAGAGTCTTTTTGCATGTGTTCTTGAGTAAATCCGGTGTCCTGTTAAAGTGGTTAAACCAACACCATGAACACAAGAGTCTGAGGGCAGCACAGCAAACCAGGCTTTCTAAGCATCCTCCTTTGCTGCTTTCACTATCAGTGAACTCAGTCTTGTTAAAGTCGGTCGACTCCATGCAGTTGATAGTTTTCCATCTGAAATCTGTTGCGTGGAAATAACACCCTGACTATGTGACAGTTCGCAGAGTTTTATACTTCAGGACATATTCCCGGCACTATGATTGGCCTTTTCCTCCTCCAGGATCTTCGAAGGAGGCGGCGGGGTTGTATTTCTAGATCCTAGAAATATCTGGGAGTGAGTCGCCATGCCAATGAAGCCATATTCTGGAAGCCTTCTTTTCAGGTTGATGGTCTGTGTCAGGCATAGCCTTGGTCTGAGGATCAGGGTTCCCCATGGAGGTGTAAGACTAAGGATCGTCCCCTGCTTCATCATAATGGGTATAGTTGGTCAAGCATGGTTTTTCGCTTTGATCTGAAAGGAGCCCTCACCGTCTCAGACAAAAGACCAACTCTGAGATGGCACGAAGTGCAATGTTATTTGGGGGCCTGATGATGAATGAATTGAAGTAGAGAAGTATAAAGACAACTCTGATTGCCGGAGCCTTGGCAGCTTCCAGAGTTTGATTTCTCTTTAACACTAAATGGGGCCTTCAAGTTGTTTCCCTCATTGTGTTGTCAGTCTGTGCATTTATGGGGGTCATTTGAATCTAGGCCATCAGGTGTGTTGGGAGGAAAAACGGCAGCAATTCAGGACCTTGGCTACTGGACTGTGTATATACCTTTCCCATCTTAGGAAGCTGGAAAATACACACTGTGAACTGAAGGCACAGAAGAGTCAACTGGCAGCTGCTGAGGAAAATTTGAAACTGGTTACCGAAGTGATAGACCAGTATAAGTGAGTTCAGACACTAAATATTAGCGGCTCCTGAAATCCCTGTTCACTTCCTATTTTTAATCTTTGTACATGGTTTAGACTCAATTAACAAGTGATATAAACAAAAATTCAGAGGCCATATCCAGAGAGAATTAACAGACACAAAAAGACAAGTTTTAGAAAGAACAAAACAATTATGTTACTAAACATGTCCGGATCCCCAGCGCTGGCCTGACTCTGTGGAAACTTCCGCCATGCCATTCCACCCCCAGGGGTGGTTTCAGTGGTCCTAATCTTGAGGAAAGCAGTTTGTCGTAGGATGAATCCTGCCCATGAACCCGGTAGTGCCATCTGATGGCGCGGTCTTTGCAACGCTGGGAACCATGGCGAGCATAGAAGTTAAAGGACAATACAGCTTCATGGTAAAAGCTCTTTGTCATGTGATAAATCAGGGACAGATTGATATCAGGTAAGGAAATTATGTCAACTCTGAGCCCTGCAGGTGTGGAGAAACGAGTAAGGAGAGGATGTAACGATAGCTTTGATCCTACTGTACATTTATTATCACGGGAATGTGTTTCCTGTGTCAGGATAAATCGTATGAGGGGACAGATCAGAGGAGGATGGCCACATGGGCAGGTGATTTCAAATCACACCCAAGGGGCGCCTGGTGGCTGTCGTTAAGCGTCTGCCTTCGGCTCAGGTCATGGTCCCAGCGTCCTGGGATCAAGCCCCGCATCGGGCTCCTGCTCTGCGGGAAGCCTGCTTCTCCCTCTCCCACTCCTTCTGCTTGCGTTCCTTCTCTCACTGTGTCTCTCTTTGTCAAATAAATAAATAAAATCTTTAAAAAAAACCTAAAATCACAGCCAATATTGGGCTTTATCTGACAAAAGCAATTATATCTCACAGACAAGAAATTGGAGAAATGCAAGATCGGCTACAGAAGGCAGAGCTCAACTTCAAACTCAAGGTAACCTAGGTTCTGCCCCTACATACTGGCCCCTTCGTGCCTCCTGCAGGTGATGGAAGTGGCCCTTAGATCCCTGAACATGGGCTCTTGGTGAATTGATTTTTCAGGTCGCAGCTCATGAGAGAAGTGCTCTAGATAATTGGGTAAGTGTTTTCTTTTTCTTCCTCTTTGTTTGGGGCACAGTCCGGCACAACTGAGGGTGGATGTGTTTTCCTCCCCCAGGTGAAGGCTCGGTTTTGGG